AAAGCAGCAGCTTGTGCACCCTCCAACGAATGTGGAGAAAAAGGTCCACTTGAGAAGTTATATACTATATGCTTGAACTCGAACTTTGCGTGGAACAAAACTCGCCTGTGTAGCTTATTTTTAAACCGTAACCAGGAAGTTGGACCCATGCGACAACCAAGAACCGGCTCAGTAGATCAGTAGATGCCAAAACATATCCCAGCGGCTTTTGCGCAAGTTGTCACCGATGCTCCAGAATTGCTGCACCTTCAGGATGACACCACAACCCATAAGCTTGAGGCACTTCATATCATAGCTCCAAGCTTTTGTTTGCTGGTTCTTCTTTGGTGGCGCGTGCTGCTTCAGGTGGACTCATATCCCATTTTGGGATTGTCTTGGCTGCATACACACCCACAGTGGGAATCTGCCTCAGCGACCTTTTGCAACAGAAACGCCTGCAATCCTGAGAATTTTGGTTCTAAATGCGTTTTCCCTCTTGTTTTGAGTTTCCGTCTCCAGGCAGTATGTGGAGTCTCGCAGTCAGGCACCACATGCCTTGTCAATTATGACGACAACAGGCCAGCCGGCGGAATCCAACTTGGCTCCTCCTTGGAATCTCGTCCTAGTGACCCCCGAAACCTTGAGAGGTTTCCCAAACAACTGGAGTTGGGTTTGCTGGTAGAAGATTGTTTGGAATAATGGCATGCCGCATGCGTTGCAAATTGATTGGATTCAACATATTTGCTAATCTTGGTATCTAGCAAGTTCTTGCAGTTTCAACAGCTTTTCTTTATATAGATGTCTGATGTCTTGTGTCCCACTGAAACCAGTGAGGCTTCGTTGCATACTACAGTCAACTTAGCCTTTGTATCGGAAGGTCATGTGGCCACAATGACCGGAACCGTTTTCCTGTCTGGATGTGTGTTCATGTTCATGTGTGTATGTGTGTGTGAGTGAGTGAGTGAGTGAGTCGCTGGTCGCATTTATGTGAAGGTCTGGCCATATGGAAAGCGTGCGACTGGAGCCGTTCGCTCACCTCTCCTCGCTGTCAGTGAACTGTACGGACGAGTGCCTCAAACAACTGAAAAGAAACAGTGTCATCATATGCAATTCTTTCAAGGATATGCAGAGAGGCTGTCCCAGACCCGCAGTGAACCAAAAGGCACAACCATCGACATTGACGAGGTACTTTATGACGAGCGGATTTTGCGTAGATCTAGGCCCGACCTTTGGGGTTGACTGAAGCTTTTCGCAAATGCTGACATTTCATCAGACCTTCTCAGTTCTCAGTTCTTTGCAACGATGTCAGCGCTGTTTTCGGCTAAAGCTCCTGCTCCTGCTGTCGCTCAATGATCCCAGGCCAGATGTCCAATCAATGTTTCTTCAATGTGTCAGTCAGGTTGCTTGATCTGAGGTTTCTTCTCGACAAAACGTGGCGACAACATTTGCTGAGAATGTCCGGACAACTTGCCGTTTTTCTTTGTTGATCGTGGGATGGGAACAGATGGCCGCATCCTCAGAACTGGGAGGGTTTTGGACCACAAACTTGAATGCAATCCTGAAGGCATAAGCCCAATGCCTGGAATGCCCAACATGGGGGGTATGGCAGGCCAAGACGAGCACCGACTACATTTGAGCATGTTTAGAATGGAAACGCAACAGATCGAGACACATCGCATCGGAACCGTGGATTCATGTTTTTACACATTTTCTGCTGCTCTAACTCGAGACATTGGCTCTCAGGTGGATGTGGCTCAGGATGCGGTGGATGTTGCCTTGCATGTCCCAGCTGCCTCTCTTCTCCATCCTGTCATGGAGGATCAAACAGTTTAAATCCAGGCCCTGTGTGCCCAGCTGGACCAGGATGCTGTGGCTGTCAAGGCTGTCCAGGTGGTGCCGGATGTGGGTGCCCTGGAGGATGTCCCATGATGGGCATGAGGCAGGACAACTCTTCAACCGAGTCTTTTTCTTTTCTGCCGCAACGTTGTTTGAACTGGGCTGGCAGCTTCTTAACGGGGCTAATTTCCAACATCTAGAACTTGAAATGCACACTCAGTTGCCTGTGGAGAGGATAAGAGCCTGAGGGAGATTTTGCTCTGCAAGTAGCTGAGCGCATGCTTCAAACGCTCTAATTCCAGCATGTGGGATGTAATTAGACTGTAGACTGAAGAATATCTAGCAAAGGAGAGTGGAGTAATCCAAGCAGAAGCGGTTGCTCAATTCCGTGGAGTACCCCCCAGTATTCTTGAAAGAGCTTAGCAAGCGTCGTGACATTGGAACAGGAAGCTAAGGCTACAACAAGTAAGTCGACCTTGCTCTCTGTCGAAAGCACCAACAACAAGATGCTTCGAGCACAGACAACAATTATATATTAGGATCAAATTGACAACATACTCTACAAGGTCATAGCTTTTGTCTTGGGGTAGGTGACCTGATTCCTGATCATCTAGGCTTTCAACATTTCCCCGAGCTATGAGGAATATTTCTACTTATTAGCTTTGGGCTTTTTTTGGTGTCTGCTTGAGGCTGCATCTCTTTACTTATTAAACGCTTTAAGGTATCTTTATTCAGACTTTAGACCACGATGCCAGCCGGCAGGCCTGGAATGATGGGGGTGCAAGGTGGCGTGATGCCAGGGTGCAACCCAATGATGAAGCTTGGCTCACACGTTTTCTTCTATTCGCTTTTGCTTCTCTTCAAAGCATCCAGCAAGGTCTTCTATCATGAACAGCTCCTTTTATCTACAGTATGATGACAGCCGGCCCGTACTTCATATCGACCATATTGTGTGCTTAAACCATACATCATATCGCCCGCATGCTGGTATGCTGACATCCAGGGTCCTTTGCTTATATATAAAGAACACGCAGAGCGGCGATGATTGGGGTGGGGTAGTGAACGCCTTGAATTTGCATAGTTTCGAGCGTTGACTCCTGAATGATTCAGAGCTTCTAAAGTTGGGATCCTTACAAAGCAAGGCACTTCTAATGCTCAGCTGGTCTGTATCACGGTTTTATTCATGCAAGACATATGTTCACCATCTCTTTTGAGTCTCAACGGCCAAGCATGGATTTGGCCCGAGATATCGCTGGGCCAGCTTCGTTTTGGCACCTGGATCCGTGGTCTTTCCATCTTGGCCCTGTTTGGAAACAATTCGTTGACCAACGAGCTCGTTTGCATAATTATCACAAATTCTTGATTTCCGCAGCGAACCATCGTTTTTCACTCACCGAAGATAAGGAAAATAAGTTTTCACCTAACCCTCTCATGTCTACAGACAATGCACTTGTTCTTAACATCGACTGGGAAAAACGCGACCAGGTCTGTCAAGCACAAGACAACTGGCCAACTGCGTTTATTGATGCCTTACTGCAATGGGTGATTTTGCTGCGCTGGCCTCATGGCGAGCCTGTTTGTCCTGAAAACGACATCCCTTGGTGTGAATTGGAAATCGTCTTCATTGCGCTGCACGTACACTGTACATTCCCGGAACTAAGAAGTGTGGGGCCGCTGCTAGGCACGCTTCAAAACACAAGCCGCTTGTGTATCATGTCTCTCCCACTTTGGGACGGGACACTAGCACCTTACAATTTCTTTCAAAATGCTTGTTCGCAAACGGGTCATGGCCATGCCTTTCGCATATTGTGCCAAGGCTTTGTCAGCACGCAGGTTAGGATTTTCTGCAGTGAAGTCCCGGCCGTCACTTGTAGGTGGCCTCAATGCTGCACGCTGGCTTCAGAACACGCTGACCAGCACAAAGCAAACACTGAACGATTTGTCCTTTACGTTGACGACATCAAATTCGTAGTTAAGCACCTTGATGTACTTGAATCCGCAACCAGCTTTGCTTTCGTTCGGCCACGCCCTTAGTTTCTTGCCTTCGTGCCTTCCGAGCATTCGTGTTCTCTCGCTGTAAATTGTTCCTGCATTGGGGACCAACCAAGTTGTGCCTCGGTGTCAGATCATTGCAAAGAGGAAAGAAAGGTCGTTCGGTCTTAGATTTTTTGTGTCTTAGCGGCAAGGGCTGCTCCAAGCCAGCAAGCTCGACGACTCTAGAAGTCGTGCTGGTTGATGCCAAGCAACCATCCCTCCTTGACTGAATTTGGGCAATTTGAGGAGCAAGTTGATTTGTTGCGAGGTGAGATTCACAGGTTGCACAGTCAGACAGTCAGTTTGTTGACCGCCGCCAGATCCCAGTTGGCTGACCTGCAAGGCGCTATCGCAGAGCTTCCGGTAGTTTTGGTTTTTGACTGGGTTACTCGCAATGCTCTTGCTGACCCATGGACAAAGGAGGAGGGAAGCTCTTTTTGGTTATTGGGGCACTTGTTCGGCCGAGTGAAGCCGCTGATCATTTTTTTTCACCCGCTGGCCATGGGTGACCTTAATGCTGGTGAGCTTGCTCAACGCTCGCCTATCCATGATGCTTTGGACGGGAGTTCTGCAGGAGGATGAGATGATCGCTGCAGGGAGAGGTCTCAGGGGGATTGATGGGTGTTGGCGTGATCAATCTCTGTTTTTGTTGGAGAAGGGTCAGTGCGGCTGTGTGCGTGCGAAACTAGCCGGCTCAGAGGCAGGCGCCAGACTTGACAAAGCCTTGACTACCTACAAACAGAACTGGTTGGAGGTAAATTCAAGAAGGAGCAGCTCGTCTCTGGGGCGTTGGGCTGGACGGAGAAAAGGGCATGCTTCGTGGCTTCACCTTGCGGTTGTGGCCTCTTAGGGTGGTGACCGCTAGAGTGGCTACGTTGGGCATTTGTTTGGCGCCCTTGTTCGAAGAAGTAGCAGGTTCATGGGAAGCATTGTTTACAGCGAGGAGGTGATTGTTGTGTGCGATGAGCATGCTCTCTGAGGCAACATTCGCGATTCCAGACCAAACCACTATTTTTCGACGGTGTTACTTCTTTTCTCGCGAGTGAGCTGTGGTCGCTGCTTTTGGGGCTTCTTGCAGCGTGCAACCTCAGGGCTGAGTACATCCCACCTGTCACCGCTACAGATGCCTCCCGCAATTGGATTGCGCCATTCAAGCGTCGGCGCCAACGCCAAAGGTCAGCAGACGCGGGCTTCGCAAAGGCCGCTGGTCAAAGGTGCTGCCAGCAGGCGTGGCCGTGGCTGAGGGCGCACGGCGTTTTGGATCCTGGTGGAGAGCTAGCAGCTATATACTGTACCCGGGCAGACGCCCGCACTAAATTGAGAAATGTCGGAAACTTGTATTGAAACCAAGTCACATCACACCAAAGAGCACGCTTGATGGAGGAGCCCAGCCCGGCTCAGCGCTGCGACCGCAAGCGGTTTTTGGTTGGAATCGACTCGCAGGCTGGTGTGGGGGCTCTTGTGAAGGGTAGGGCTACGCCGCAGCTGTTGAACAAGGAGTTAATGAAACCTTTTTGCTTCCGGCGCGATTCTTTTTATAGCTCACACATGCAGCCCAAGGCAACCGTTTGCGGGCTCGATGTATGGATTCAGAATACAGGTCACCATGTTGTTGCGTGGCGAGGTTGGGTGTCAGGAGCTGCTGAGGCCGTTTGTTTTTGATCGGTCTGCGGGATGGCGCAAACTGTCCAGACTCAGGAACGGTTGCACCCTCTATCAATCAGAAGCCTACCACTGATCTTAGGTCGGAAGGTTTAGCCCATTTGCAGAGTTTCCCGAAATACTTTCTTTTCTTTCCACCTTTTGAAGGGTTCATCAGCGTGAGCCCTGATTTGGAATGGAGCTCCTTGGGTGTTGCGTTTTTAGTGGTGCCGTAGCGCTTCTGAGAACTTGCTTGAAGAAGATCTGCGAAGCAAAATCATGGTGCCCACAGCGCATGGTGCCACGCGCCTCTCTCTTGGCATCCGTAATCTTTAAATGTGGAATCTAAACGTTGTCTTGCCACGCCAGTCACAGCCAAGCTGCAGGTCCTTCCATGTTGCGTTTCGCAAGTTGTCAACCTTCTTTGTCTTGCTGTCCACTCTTCTTCTCAAAGAAGGTCCGGCGTTCATCTTCCAGCAGTTTGGTGTCTACTGGACAAGACTTGGTTGCTGAAAAAAATTCTACCGGTAGTCCTTGTGGTGACTATCAGTTCTCGTCGATGATGATCGTCAACCACTGGCACTTTCGCAATCCGTATCACTGCTGGCGCGTTGAGGCGTCGATCTCACAAGCGGCAAGCTTACAAGCAAAGGGCATGTGGGGCTTTTTCCTTCGTCGACAATGTCGAACTCTGTGGTAGAACTTGCCC